TCTCTCTCTCTCTCTCTCTCTCTCTCTTTCTCTCTCTCTCTCTCTCTCTCTCTCTCTCTCTCTCTCGCTCATGAATCTTTCTCTTTATCGAGGAAGATTCGTTCTCGATGGAAACGTCTAAATCGTGATTTTTTTATTTTTTTTTTCCAGATTGTTATCCTCGTTTTTTTTTTTCTTTTCTTTTCTTTTTTTTTTGTTGTTGTGTACTACCGGTTGTCCGAGGCTCGGCAAGGACTGGCCTACCGGTAGCCGAGCCACGGGTCTTGACAACCGATAGATACTGGGGGTTTAACTAAGAAGTTACCTTCATGAAACCTAACAGCAACTACCTAAGATTTAATTAAGCAAGCAAAGGAGAAACAAAACACAAACAAGAACCACTAACACTCCGTCTCTTCCCCTCACCACAGACGAAGGAAACACCGCCCAAGCTTTCAATCCTCGTACCAAAAATCATCAACTCTCATACCCCCTTTGCTAGAGTTACAAGGCTACACAAACTACCCTAGTACCGACCTAACTGTTTCTGACGGACAGAAAGTGCTTTCCTCCCTCAACAACTTTCTTAAATGTAATTTAAAAGCCCCTCAAAAGATTACAGGGTCACCGCCCCGGCGACAACTGCGTTGAAAGAGGTGGTTATGCCGTCCACCCTCGGCATAACTCCAATGGCCTCAAGCTCCCCCTGGTGAGAGAGCTAATGCTCCCTTAACGGCCAATGTTATCCCACCCCACCCTTCAAAAAGATCTACTATCTTAAACGACCAATCCCCCCTTTGCTCAAGTCGCCTCACAACCCTTCAAACCCTAATTCGGACGTAGGTAATTCAGAAAAACAAACTAGAATTTTCAGCGTGCAATTTTTACAATAGGCACTGGTTGCAAACATCCTATACAAACCTTTTCAACCCTACTCCGGCAAGTCTTACTGCAATAGAGCCACCATCTCCACGCTATGCCATTTTTTAACTCTGCAAGCTAGCCCCTTCGCTGCAGAGCGCGTCCTCTCCCACCATCATGTCCCACCACCCCCTTCCACCAGCTCCATGTTATTGAGACTGTCCCAGAAGATACAAAACAAACAACCAACCTACCATGCGTCAAGTTATGGTGTGTGTGGACCGGTTTTCCAAATATGCAGAGTTCATGCCCTTACCAGCCAAAGCAGGTGTGCTTGCTGTTCGGGCAGCTTTTGCTGATAGGTGGGTTCGAGATCATGGACCACCCACCTCCAGTGAGAGTGATCGACATCCTAGATTCTTAAGTCATGAATAACAATCCTACTGCAGGAATTACCTTCATTCTAGACTGGACATGACCTTTGGTCGTCATCCTTAAGGCAACGGTCAGATTGAGGCGATGAACCAGATTCTATTCCAGTTGTTGCGTCCTGTGATCAGTCCAGATCAGTAGGACCGGGATCTTCATTTAGGTCGTGCACAACTTGTGTATACAAAACGTCTGTACACCCCTCTACCGACTTTACACCCTACCGGTTACACTGGGTTCGTGAGTCACGACAGCCTCTCGGTGACATCATCGACAAGGCTACCCCTTCGTTGACACCTGGAACTGCAGAGTTCACCAGGCGTCACCATGTGGACGTAGAACACGCCCGTGCCAACCTGCTCAAAGCCCAAAAGGCTATGATTCAGCAGGCTAATCGACACAATATCCTTCTACTATTCACACAGGTGACTGGGTGTGGGTACTCAGTTCTGAGTTGTCATGAGAGGAGAACATTTCGCCTAAGCTGCTGCCACGATACATGGGTCCATGGCAGGTCTTAGATACAGTGGGAGCTGATCCGTTTGGACCATCCTATACAGTACATGTCCCTCTGCATCTACAAACCTACCCTGTCTTTCCTGCATCCAAGTTGTTACCATTTACATCAGTTGGTGCATTTCCAGACAGGCCTCCTGAGTTCGGTCCCCCGATCCCTGGCAAGGGATATCAGGTAGAATCCGTTGAGGATGAGTCAGGTACATGTCCAAATAAGGAGTACCTTGTGAAGTTTTTGTACCCGCCACACACTGAAGATCGCTGGTTTACTCGCAAAGAACTTATGAAAACGGCAAGGTCTGTTATCCTCAAGTATGAGGCAACACAGAAGGGAGAACCCCTTCGACGCTCTGCATGCCTATGCCCCTAGCTCGGAGGCTACGTGACACCCATGGCCTAGGCCGTGGGGATTTCGGCCGCTGCGGCCGAAAAACTCAGCTACGACCGCGACCGATTAGGCCCAGTCCGCGGCCTGTTTTTTTAATAACTTTTTGTTACCCCAACTATCTTGGGGTCAAAGTATTTACGAATCCCACCCCGAGAAATATATATATATATATATTTTTCCTCCTTATTAGGTGGTGCTCCTGTTCATCATTTTGTTCCTGGTCCCCTTCTTTATCTCGATCCATTGGTTGGGCATGATTGTTTGTCTGCAGGGGGGGCAAAACCTCCCTATCCTTGTTGGAGGCATTTTCTTTCGATGAGGAGCTTCTTACTCCCAAAAGACTGTTTAAGACAATATTTATATTCGCCTCTGAAATATAATTTTTAGGATCTGGTTCTTTTTCTGAAATTCCTCCCCCATTGACCGTATGTGGAGAGGGGTGCGAGGGTGAGGGGGTTTAAGTTGCAGTCCCCTGGGCTAGTTCTGGCATAGGAGTCGGGATGTTGACCGAAGATTCAGGGAGGATTCAGTTGTCCAAAGGTTTTGTTTCCCAATTTGACTCCCCTTGCTTTTCCCCTGGGTAGCACAGCAATGCCGGCCGGATTAAGTGACCGGAATATCCGGCCTTATCATCCGGCATCCGGTTTATCCAGAAATCCGGATAAACCGGAAATAGAGCAAAAAAAAAACGAAAAAAAA